CTGGCTGCTCTGTGCCACCCAGCAGGAATGTTCCCCTGGGATAGCTCAGCTGAGGCACCACTGGCAAGCCTGGCACCTCTTCCAACCAGCCCAGGACAGCAAAGCATCTCCCTCCTGCTGGCAGGAAAAGCTTTGAAATTGTTTCTTTGAAGGAGCAGCATGTACCAGCCCCAGGCACAGCATCCAACACGCTACTGAAATCTCCCCCAGGAGCCCAGGCACCCACGGCCCTGCACACAGAGCTCCCCCAGCCCAGCTCTGCTGAGCTCTTCTGTTTTCTGTGCTGGTTTTCCAGCCATGGCAGTTGCAGAAGTTGCTCCCGCAGTCACCAAGGTACAGCCACATCAAGGCAGCGTTTGCACCCACACATGGTGGGGTCTGGTGTGGCCACGAGCATCCCCCACCATGGCAGGGGCTCCCTGCCGTGCTCTGGAGAGGAGAGTGGTGCCAGAAGTGCCCTCTGTTTGAGCTCTTGGTAAACACAGCTCTGTGTTTTTAAACATGCCTCTGGGGAGCCCAGCTGTGGCTTGCCTGCGGTGGGGATGGACAGGGACAGGAGATGGGGCTGCCTGGGCTCCTGCAGCAACAGTGACAACATGCATCTGGGGCTGTGTGGCCTCAGCAATGATTCACTGGGCAGCAGGAGAAAAGCAATCCCTCATTGGAGGGAGTCTCCAGATTCTCTCAGCTCTCCCCAGCAGGCCCCCCTGCCACAGGATCAGGCCAGTGACTGCACAGGAAACCTTGTTTGGATTTTCAGCAAAGGCCTATTTTGAACATTTTACAAAGAAGAGGCAGATGGGAGGCCAGAAAAACTCAGTGCAATCTTTTCTTAGCTAAATTTTGTCCTGCATTGCCTGGCAGCCATGATGGCCCCACGATTAAATGTCCATGTTGAGCTCATCCTGGGATTTCATTCCTGCCCGTGCCCTCCCATTCCGTGCCCAGGCCCTGCTGTTTGTGTGGAACGCCATTCACTGTGAGCAAAGCCAGGTGAGGGCTGTAACACCCACCATTCCTGGCTGCCTCCCTGCACTGCACCGCTCCTTCCACAACAGAACATTTCCCAGAGGCTGCACACCTACATGACAAGCGCTTTTTCAACTCCTATTTATAGAACTCCTTGAATATTCAGCTTCAAGAAAGGGCAAAAGCAGCAGCAGCAGCAGCTTTTCCCCAGCTCAGCCTCCTCTCCCTGCTCACAGCTGTGCACGAGGTCTGTGCATGGAGGAGCAGCAGGGTTAGGGCACAGCTTCTCTCCCCTCACTCCCTTTGCTTGTTGTGTTCTTCCACATCAATGATTAATTGGATTCACACCTTTTCTCTTCTCCTTTTTGCTACTGGCACTGCAAACCACCTCTCCCCTGCCTGAGCACAGGAGGCTCCTCACCAGGAGTCACCTTGCTCCAGGCCACTGGACACAGAGCAGCAGGCAGGGTTGGATCCTGTTACAGTTTTGCTGCCATAGGGGGCAAAAAAAAAAGCACTTTATAAAAATAAAACTTCAAAGCAACTCAAGCAGACAGCTCTGCCTTGATCCCCTCTCCAAGACAGGTTTTGTGATGATGCTAAAATGCACCTTGTCTGCACAACAGACTTCACTGAATCTCATCCTGGATACGAGTTACAGTTGCTTTGATATTTTCCTTAAATGTGCTGATATCCACACTCAATGATTTAATTCCATATAACTTACATAGGGGTTTTTTTCTGCAATTCTCAGATGAAAAGAAATAATCTCTCACCACATTTGAAAACCTAGATTTCTGCCAGTTTCCTTAAAAAGCTACAATCTGTGCCAACTCAGTCATTTTAAACTATAGATTATTTATTTTTCTGCTCATATTACTTTTTAAAAGACAGTTCAAATAGATACAGTTAGAAATTCTTTTTTTTTTCTAGCCCAAGATCCATTCTTATCAAGATCCTATTAGGATCCACAGAGACATTTGCAATTCTCCCTGGTGTTCCAAAGTGCTTTACATAAAAATTTCAATTAAAATTAATCATTAAACATGGCACTACATTGGGTCATGTATTTAGGTAATGATAATCTACTTCTACTACTGAAGGCAGACAGAAAAGAACTTTACCACTGATTTAAGTAATTTTAGCATGGGATGAAATTGTGAGGTTATTCAAGTCCTAATTCTGCATTTTGCCAACAAGACTCTCCTTGCTGCTGTTCAGCACACACACTGCAGCTCTCTGTAGCAGGCAGTCTCTCTGAAGAGGCAGAGCTCATTTTCTGATCAAGTGACTGCTATGAACTCCAAGGATGGGTTTTAGAACCCAAGAATGTATTAAGAGCTGTAATTGCATTTATGTCTCAGGGAAGGTTTAGGGAAGAAGAACTCTCTGCAGCTGAAAAGCAATTTTCAGGATGAAGCCAGGGGTTGTTATTTGTAACTGAGAAAGGAACAAAAATTTAAGGCCATTGTTAGAACAAGATACTCCCAGGAAGGAGACTGCAAACTGTGGAATGGAACATGGGACCTCACACTTTTAACTGGTGCAGTTCAGCACCAGATTAGTAAGTCTTAAATGTTAAAACTCTTTTATTTGCAGTCTCAGTTCTTGCCTTAGGGAGTTGGTGGCCAAATCTCAATTGAAACATGCAAGGACGCTGAGACATTGCAACAATTTCCTAAACTGACTGAATCATGTTAGAGCTTTGTGTTAAGTAAAACACATTTGAATTGCACAGAAATGAGACTGTTTTAGCTGTAGCTATGGAATTAATTTAAGAAAATGTTAGGAATGTGTTGTTATTTTTAATGAGCAGAAGTCAAAGTGCCTGAAGGGGAGGAACACATACCCACATGAAGGAGGAGAGAGAACAATCCCTAGCACAAGAACATCCCACAGCACAGCTACACCTACGGGCCCCTGGCATAAAGGGCTCAGTCTATTTCCAGATCACTGTCTTCACTGTAACATGCAGATGGATTATGTATAGAAGTCAGCAGCAGTAGGTCTTTTTCTGGCAGCAAACCACACTCCTGCAGAAAAGCCTCCAGGTCTACAGCAAAAAAATCTTCTCCCAGCTGGTCGGTGATGCGCACGAAGTTGCCAATGAGCTCCCCTGCCTTGTAGACCAGCAGGGCTGGCAGGGCATTGTTAGTGAAGCGAGTGCTGGCGCCAATGAGTGAACTCTTCACTCTGCAGAATTTCACCGTTGGGTACTCAGCAGCCAGGCAGATCATGCAGCCGTTCAGGGACTCAGTGCCAGGGATATCATCTTCATAAATATGGATCATGATCAGTGTGCTCTTATGCTCCTTGTCCACGGTGTCCAGAAATGCTTCCCCACTGGTGATCTCAAACACCTGCTTGAATTGCTGCCCACTGTACAACTGCTGCCTCATCTCCTCCATCCGCTGCTTCCTGTAGCGCTGCAAGAACTCCTCATCATCCTCATCGTTGTGGATCATGCTGTATTCCTGTAAAGTCATCTGAAAACACACAGAGATTCCTGAAAAACATCTGCACCACTATATGGGTCACTTACATAATGAGAACATAAATCAAGAGGATTAATGTGGGTCACTCATCTTTAATAACAGCAAAGTGCAGCCCATGAAGGCTGAAGCACCCGGTGTATTACACTCCATTCTGATCTAATTAGAAACCAAGTCCAGGGGGAACAGTGATTTCAGCCCTGGGTATTCCAGTTTCCACAAGCTGCACTAATCACACAAGTGGCTGCTCCATGCTCCCACTTTAATCCAGGTTAATGGTGGCCGTGTGCTTTCACTGAGCCAGGAGCGCTCATTTGGAAACTGTGCCTGACCTCCGATGAGCTTCTTTCTCATCAGCTTTTCGTTCAGTTTTTCAGTGAACATTTGTGGCACCATTGTGCCTGTA